CGCAGCAGCAGCAGCATCACACTCGGTCGTCTCGCTTCTTTCTCCAGCACTCTTTTCCTCTGGTCTTTATCGTCGTCGTCTGGCCCGGGTTAGCGACTTCGTACTCGAGCACCTTGATGATCTGTAGAAGACGACTGCGATGATGGCGCCCATGCCGGGCCCGATCCAGTAGATCCAGTGCTCGACGTCGAAGACGCCGGTTATGACGCAGGGCCCGAAGGAGCGCGCGGGGTTGAGACTGCCGCCTGTGTAGTAGACGCCTACGAGTTCGGCGATGAAGAGGGCGAGGCCGATGCCGACGGGCGCGATGAAGGTTGCTGGGGTGGTTGTTAGTTCCTGGAGTGAAGAAGAGCGAGGGGAGATGACATACCTTTGTGTTTCTCCTTTGCAAGCATGAAAATGGTAAAGACCAGTTCGGCTGTTAAGATGGCTTCGATGAAGACTCCTTGTACCAAACTCGTGCCGCTTCCCAGCGTAGTTCGTACGTTGAAATCCGTCGGGAATAGTATTGACACCAGCCAGCTTGCGAAGATACTACCCAGAATCTGTGCTGCTAGCAACAAAAAGGCGCGGATCGGGCTCAGCGCACGGCAGAGCAACATGGCAAACGTGACAGCAGGGTTGAACAAGCCACCAGAGATACGAAAGAAAACCCAGACGTTGACCATGAGGGAAAACGCAAAGACAATGGCAATGTACAGCAGAACAATTGGCGAGAAGCCCGAAGCCTGACCAGTGGTTGTGTTTTCCGATGACGCTGCACTGGACCCAATGTTTGCGACTTGGGTGCCTGAGAAGGCGAAGAACAGAAACATTGTTGTTCCTACAAATTCGCCAACGAAAGCTACAAAGTCTGTATTTCATGTGTTAGTAAAAGGCATCGTGTATGTGCTTCTCATGTGTGTAACTTACGGTTCTTGGCATTACTTCCCATCCAGATGGCCCAGGGTAGCCTCATCACACTCTCCGGCCTGTGAGGTGGTGGTGGTGGTCTACCACCTCCAGCGCCTCCCGTGTAAATGACACGTCGCCCATAGTCGTCGTAATTCGGATAGTACATTTCGTAATTAGGTTTGCTGGGCGGAGAACTGTATCCTGGGTGCACACTTTGATCAACACTGTTCCTGGGTAGTGGTCCGTATCTCGAATTTTGTTCAGCGTAGTTGTTGTACGAGGCGGGAGGTTTCTGGTGAGGTCGGTTGGAGCGACGACGGTAAATCACTCGTTCCTGCTCATCTTCATCCGAGTAATCCTCTACATAAGCCATGCGCTGCTGTCCTGGGCTGAAAGGTACAGCATTGGATTGACGTTGAGGGCGCATGGGTGTGATTCCAAGGTTGTTGTTTGATTGCCTAGTTGCTGCCGCAGCAGGTGATCCAGGATCCATGGAGGGATCAATATGCGCTGGGTGTGGCTGGATGGGAAGACGCAAGAGATCTCGCCTTGAGTCTAGGGATGTGCGAGTATTAGGTGGTGGGGACTCAATTATTGTGCCATCTGGAAGTTGTTGTCCGTAGAACTGAGGAAGAGGACTAGTTTGCGCCATTTAGGCGAGCTGAGAGGAGGTACCTGCTGGATTGGCGATATAGAGGGTACCAGAGGAGAGTAAATGTGTGTTATTGGGACTGGCTAGATCGGAGAGATTGGAAACTTCTTTCAGGATGCGATAATGCTCAGATGGTTCGAGCGAGGTATAGGTGATTGAGTAGTAAAATTAGCTTGGGGATGTTGATGAGGTTTGGTTGATATGCTGTGTAAGAGGGATGTCAAAGATCATATATGCTCGTAGCCTTGGGAGACGGTGAGGACCCTGAACAGAACTACCGACCAACTTCCCTCGACATACTAATCTGGCCCAGTGTCTTCTTCCCGCGTTCGTCTCGGCGCAAAGCGACCCTTTGACCGTGCTTTCCTACTCGATGGCAGCAACGGGTAGACTTCAGATCCAGGATTGTCATATCCAAGTCCAAGCAATAACAAATATGACGTCGTTTACTGACCCTTGACACAGCAAAAAATAAAGGAAACATGCTGATGACAAGGGAAAGCATGTCAGAAAAGCATGCATTCCTAGTGGGTACATGCAAGCGCGATTTTGAAGCTGAGACAGCTCGGGTAGTTATACGGACGATTGTATTTGACGAATTAGAAGATGGAACAAGGCCGCGGGATTCTCATCCGACACGTCCGTAGCCATGGTAGTCGCTTGTACATGTAGCTGCAACCGGGATGTTTGTGGTCGCGTCGCTTAGTTCTGAGATCTATCTTGGTGTTGATGTTCCCGTGCGGGCGGGAAATCCCTGCTTCCAGGTATCCATTTGGACCCTGGTACCTGATCTACCTACGAAGGTAAAACACCCAGCTGCGCGGACACCAGGGACACTTTAAATGGCCCGACAATAGCGGATGCGGAATAGCCTAGGCTTTCAGGCGTGTCTAGTGTCACAGAGAGCCCGAATTCCGAGCATAACGTTGGGCTTCAACACTACTCGACTTGGCAGATTAGACAATGTGCTCAATCGTGATGAAGCCATCAAAGCGAATTGGAGAATCCGACGGGTGAGGTACACACACCACCTGCAAGAAACGATGTACGTTGATAGAAGTTGCATATGGCGGCGTCAGAATGAAGTCGGTGGCGGTCAATCATTGACGACAGAAGCAAACAACACGAGGATCCGTTGCCGTCGAAGCCTGCGGGGTTAACAAGAAGACGGCGAGTGTTCTATTGCGGTCAAGTGTCGGACCATGGCTGGACCACTGTGGGCTCTCTGCAGTGCTCGTAAAAGTCTACAAGCAGGTTGTCCTCTCGAATGACGACTATCCGCAGACTGCCGGACCTTTCTTTTACACTTCGGCGATACTTTGCATCGATACACGGCAGCGGGAGAGTATGAGGCCGTGCCAACACACAAAACCAGAAATTTGAACCTAGCTGTCAATACAATGAGTAAAGCAGACCTCACACGGAGAGTGGATAGTTTCGGCCGAGCTGTGAATCCTTGGTGAGTATTAAAATAGGCCTATGACGATTTGAACCTTGCAACATTAGACGGAAGCAGTTATGCTGAGAAAAAGCAAACAGCACGTCAGCCTCAGTATGCAGTATCTCCACATTGTGCCGAGGGTGAAGTTGCAAGCTGTTCAATGTAGTTTGTGTTTATTTTATTTTTCACAGGTAATATGACGCATGGGCAGTCCGTGGTTACCGTAAGCGCTGAGCTGAGCTTACTTCTGCTCGCCCTGGCCAGAGGCCTCAGATTCCCTAATAACGTCGTCGCTGTGTTGTTGTCAGATGTGCTCGTTTCCGGGCCAATGGAGGCGAAGGGTTTACTAACATGTGCTTGTCGAGGTCCTCCATGTGCTGCCTCTGCTGCTTTAGCTTTTCCTTGATGGCCAGAAGCCTATATTCCGTCAGTGTTTTGCTTTGAATATCATCTCCCATGCATCGTAGGTGTTGGAGGTGAATGTCGTGGGGCAGCGTACTTGGCCTTCTCTTCTTGACGGATGTAGAGCTCCTCGCTAGCTGCCTCGCGCTTGGTGAAGGCATCACTGGTAATGCGGTCAGTTTGCATCTTCGAATTTTAAAATTTCAGATTAGGCTTCCACTTACCCGCCGGCGGATCCTGTAGGCCTTGATGAACCAGAACCAGTGGCGCCCGCAGACATGCGGAGAGCAGAAGCGGAGAAGTAACGGGGAGCGGCAATTGAGCGCGCGCTCTTGATGATGGATGTGCGGAGCATTATAGCGGGTTGTTGGAGCAATTAGGGATTTGAGGCGTCTCTGGGTGACTATATTCGACGGCGTGTGTGGTGGTGTGATGGGGTGACCTGTGGTGTTGAAGGCTTGAGGAGCTTGGACCTCTCGAACAAGTGCGTCATAGGTTGACAGCACGTGATGCCAGGCAGGTTTTGGCCATGGCTGCAGGCTACGCTACGTGCCCGGTTGGGAGCAAAGGGGCTGGATGGGATACGAGAGATGCTGTGTCTGACTGGGCCGAGCGTAAGGGGCTGTACGCTTGGAGATGATTATTACTGTGTTGTGTACTTGTCAGATCCATCTCGTGGTCCGTGGGTATCTGTGTCTACATAGCCACATGTACAGTCATGGAAACGCGGGTTATGAAGGCGAGTTGTGCTCGTTGATGTTTGTAGTAGGCTTCACATGTTGCACGTTGCTTTCATTGGTAAGTGTGTAATTCGGGCTACCGGTACCTAGGTATCAGGACTAAAGAATCCGACCGGCGCGTGATCAGAGCCAATGTATGTGCCTGAGGACCAAACGTGATGCCCAATTCCCGTGCAAAGTGTGGTCGAGCAGTCATGGAAAGGGTCGCAGGGTATTCTATCGTCGTCGACCAAGCACTCGAGAGACGGTTGAGCAGCAGGCGCGAGTCGGACAGTGAATGGGCCGCTCAGGCGGTGACGGCCATGCTGTTCGCCTGTCAGAGTGAGAGGTCGCGCCTGTTCTGGGCCGTGTGAAACAACCAAGGATAGGCAGGCGTGATCGACGCCAAGCGGAATCGGCTTCTCTCCCTCCAAAGTCCCCTCCTCTGATAACTCAACCACAAGCCGCCGTTGAACAAAACTCCTGCACATCGCTTTCTTGTCTACCCGCTCGTCACCCTCTCCCACCCACCCACGCTTTTGCTCACTCACACCCGTCATACCAGCTTTTCTTCCCGTAAGTGCTCCACCGCATTTCGTCACCACCCCCAGGTCCCTGGACCGGTGCAATTTGCGCCCTCAGCAGCCGCAACAAAGTCGCTCGCTCGCATCAGCATGGCCGGCTCTCGAAATCGCTTGCTTCGACTCCCCGCATCGCTCTCGTCGCAGCCGGCGTTTGTTGGTGTCCTGTTTGGAGAGCCGTGATAGCTCTCGCCGCCCCTCCTTGCGCCCTCTGCTGGCAGGTGCAAAGGCTACGCAAGCAATTGGCGTAGCTCCACTTGCCGCCCCTCCGAGGTCACCAACGCAACACGTAAAGCAAGCCATGGCGCCAGCAAGGCCGTCTGTTTTGCGAGCAGTGCCATAGCGAATGCTGAGGGCCCCGTTGCTCTACAATTGCGATAACGCCTGATCGCACCTGTTGCGCGCTTTGAGTTGGGCTTACATGGACTAACCGCGCTTTTCACAGACCACACTTTACCATGGGTTACGAAGACTCCGTTTACCTGGCCAAGCTGGCCGAACAGGCCGAGCGTTATGAGGGTAAGCGCATCGACAAGGAGTTGCGACGGCATTGGCTAACCCGCTCCGGTAGAGATGGTTGAGAACATGAAGGCTGTCGCCTCCGCAGACCAGGAGCTTTCCGTCGAAGAGCGAAATCTTCTTTCCGTTGCTTATAAGAACGTCATCGGTGCTCGCCGCGCGTCCTGGAGAATCGTCACCTCAATCGAACAGAAAGAGGAGTCCAAGGGCAACGAGACCCAGGTCACCCTTATCAAGGAGTACCGCCAGAAGATCGAGGCCGAATTGGCCAAGATCTGCGAGGACATCCTCGAGTGCCTCGATGGCCACCTGATCCCCTCTGCTGAGAGCGGCGAGTCCAAGGTTTTCTACCACAAGATGTAAATGCCCCTGATTTGCTGACCGCCTGATGTCGCTAACCACTCTACTTCACCCAGGAAGGGCGACTACCACCGTTACCTTGCCGAGTTTGCCGTTGGTGACAAGCGCAAGACGTCTGCCGACAAGTCCCTTGAGGCTTACAAGGCTGCCACTGATGTTGCTGCCTCCAACCTTGCTCCTACCCACCCCATCCGCCTCGGACTTGCCCTGAACTTCTCCGTTTTCTACTACGAGATCCTCAACTCGCCCGACCAGGCTTGCCAGCTCGCCAAGCAGGCGTTCGATGACGCCATTGCTGGTATGTGCAAACTCTTGAAGCCGTTAAAGGCGTGGCTAACAAGTACGCAGAGCTTGACACTCTCTCCGAGGAGAGCTACAAGGACTCTACACTCATCATGCAACTCCTCCGGGACAACCTTGTAAGTTCTTGATCCCCACTCCCCGCTCATGCATGTACTAACTGTTTCAGACCCTCTGGACATCGTCCGAGGCTGAGCCTTCCGGTGACGCGCCCGCCGCCGAGCCCGCTACCGACGCGCCCAAGGCTGAGAGCAGCGAGGCTCCCGCTGACGCCAAGGCATAAATCGAAAATCCCATATCAGACGCAAAAATGGCAGGGGTTAATGGTATGGTGCATCTTGGTAAAGGTAAATGATACCACGCCCATCATTTCCTAGTGGAATAGAGGATATATCCTAGGGTGCTTCAGGCCGGACGCGCTTTGTTAGACTTCGAATTCTCATCCCGTCTACAGCCCACGTTACACTTTTTTGCCACTGTCCATATCCTACATGTGTCTTGTACGAGTCCTTGTCTGACCTTCAAGGCTCAAGTTTTGATGAGTACAAGTTGGGTGTTGACATCGACGTCTTTTGCGCAGCTAGGGAGTGTCTGGTGGCTCATGGTTTTGCTTTCCCTACAATCCCTTTAGAAGACTTGATAACAAAGACTATATCCAAAGCCATTTGATACACGGTTGTATGCGGTGCATGTATTAAACTACTAACTCGATATGGCTTTAGGGCAAGGCCGAAGGGGTTGATAGCTGTTTCCTGTAACAACGTGCTCCTGGTGACGGCCTCATGGCGCCTTCCAAGTCAACACTGCACAGAAGACAAGGACGCACACATTCTATGGACTACTTACGTCGCTTGTCACTGTTATTACTATCGTTTCTCTTTCCACCATAGTTTCTACATCCCATCCACTCGCCATTCTCAACGAGAGTCTAGTCTCCATCGGAATATATTACCCCACTTCTTCTTTCGTCAATCGCCAGTTCATCCTATTGTCAGGTAAGCACAACATTATTCTTGACTCATATACGATGGTCGATCAGTTCAAAAAGTGACAAAAAATCCCAGGTCGGCTGCCAGCTATGGCGTCAACTTCCACCCCCATTGACCCAACTATCCCGGCACCATTTCCCTTCCTGAAGTTACCGTCCGAGATAAGAGTCAAAATTTACAAGTACTTCGTAGTGGTTGGCAAGGTCTTCTATTCGCCAAACATACGCGAACGGTCTGGCTATCTCCGATTCTGGGGCTGTAAAAAATACGCGACTCCGTCACTATCAATCTTCCTCGTTTGCAAGCTGATACACAAAGAGGCCGAATATGAGTATCTCACCAAGAACCTATTCGTTCTACCCCAAACCTTTTCATTCGCTCAGAATGCTCGACAACCTCGCCCATGCTTCTCGGCTCAGAGCAAAAACCTCAAGAATCTCAGCATCAGCTATACTCAACGGCACGATATCCCTTTCATGATGGGTTCTAGTTCATGGAACCAGCTCGACTCGAGTCGTAATCCAGGTGTCCACAACATGTACCATAGATTCAAGTCGTCGTTTCATTTCAGCCGCATGCTGGAAGCACATCATTATTCGCATGACAGCCTGGCAAGGGAATGGCGGGGTGCGAGCCAAAGGTTGCTGTCAATTCAATGCCAACTTGATAAGCTCGAGTTGGATGTCAGCGAAGCCTTTTGTCCGATAGTCTGCTGTCGCGTCTTCGACTTCGCCCCCGACTTCCTACGACAATGGAATCCGAAACGGATCCGGGCTATAGGTGTGCTTAGGGGTGAGGAGAAAAAGGCCCTGGCGCGGATTAAAACATACTTGGCGCCCCCGGGCAAGTTTTCCAGGCGACGCGATATCAAGTCCACAGTGAAGGAAGAATATAGCGAGAATGATCGGTTTTGGGACATGAGCCTTGATCCCCCCGCTTGGGCTGTGCTTGAAAGAAGCACGACCATCACGGTGGAGCGCCACCCGAGAAGATGGGATGATGTGTGGAATACTGAGGATCCCTTGGAGGAGCCTGAGGAGGAGGATGCTTGGACATGGTTTTTGAGACAGCAGGCAAACGGCCACTTATAGGTACACTCCGGATATCAAGGTTTTTTGGTCATACAATAACAGCTGTTTGGTAGACTTTGGTGTACAAGGGAAGCTTGCCCTCGTTGTTGAGAATAGAAGCACTGGCATTCTTGAATCAAGTATGCTTTGGTATTCTGTCAGTTCATGTACACTGATGGCGGTGTATACATCTATTATGGTGTGTTTGTTATTGAGTGCTAAATCACTCGTTTCGAACTCTACCTGGTAGTGTAAACCCCAGGCAATGAACTCATATGCTTCACCTTCCGACTAGCCCTAGACGGTTTCTTCCTCTCTTTCTCACACACCACACACCACTTTCTACCTTTGATACCCAGGATTCGTAACCTATTTGCAATGTGAACCCTATCCTTAAATTCGGCAAAACACCAAGCATAAGCACAAGCATAACCCTAACAATACTAACCTAACCATCCCGCTTCCTAAACCTAACTCCCAAACTCCACCTTATCTATCCTCTATCTCCACATATCTCCCAGATACCTCCCTCTCCTCATTCCCCCCCTCAGTCTACAAATCTAGTAACTACTACTATCACCCTATATATTCAATCCAATCCAATCTAATCTAATCTTAAACCTCGTCATCGTCCACTTTACATCCCACAACATCAATTCTTTCAGGCAATGACATCGTATCGAGAATAGTGGTGACGGAGTGGTGGGACATCGACCTGTGTGCGTGGAAGGGGGTTGAGTAGGGTTTCTAGGATAAAAGGATCAATGGTTCACTTTGTGCAAACTTTCCTGTTCCTTTGAAATCGTTCGAACGGATCAAATAGATAGTCTTCAGGAGAACAATCAGAATAACATGAGGGATGAAGACTATAACACAATCACAAAACACACCACTAATAACGAAATCATCGTTCCAATGTATTTCATGTAAAATCACTCAATATGCTTGTATTTATTCATACATCCCAAACCCGCTTATGCATGCCACAGCCTAACAACAGCCTCGGTAATACCAACATCGTTCGTCTCGAACGAGTAGAGCGCAAGACCGAGGGCGACGGTTCCAGCGCGAAGAGCCCAATTGGCGGCCGCGCGAGTCTTGGGGACGCGCTTCTTGGGGAAGTAATCGATGATGCATGATCTGAGGGTTGTTAATATAGCTATAGATGTACGTATGTGAAACAAGGAGTTCTTACTCAAAACCAATGTGCGAGTGGACTACCAGAAGAGCGCAGAGGATGGAGTCGGTTACAGGGTTCAGCGAGCCAGCGGCGAAGGGCGCAACGGTTAGGGGAATGAGACCAGCAGAGACGATTCTAGGTCAGATTATTAGTTGTAGATACAATAGGACACGTGATATGTCGCACCTCTCAAAGCTCCAGTGGTAACTTCCGTGCGTGTAGTCTGGGTCGGGTACGGGCGTGGGGTCGTTTGCGGTACCGACAATCTTCTGGGGTAGTGGGGGCAAGATGGCGTTGCGCTGGGTAGCGTGGAAGGCGGCAATGCGTGTGGATTGCTGGATGACTGAGCGCTGGAATGCTGGTCGTAGCTGTTGGGCGAGCGGGCGATTGATGGTGGAGGTGGTGGAGGTTGATAGCATGCGCTGCGATGATTGAGGCTTTGCGCAGACTTGCCTGAAGAGCCCGGGACGTAGAGAGGAAGCCATATCTGCAGTTTACGTCTATACGTCTACTTCAGCTTGGAGGGGGTTAAAGGTCGCAAGCTGCAGTATCGGGACGAACTGGTGTTTCGACGACACTCTGCCGAGGATATGGCATTGTCGTCAACACCAATGCGCTCATTGGCCAGCGGGCGGGGCCGGGAAATTCCGAACAGCAGATTTCACCCATCATCGACTTCACCTTGGCCAAGCTGCAGCTCGACGAACCCAACCCCAACCCCATCTAAGCCCCATCTCCCATACAAAAAGCCACAGCGAGCACACGCAATGGCTTCCCGCCGGCTCGCACTCAACCTGCGGCAATCGATGCGCTCCCGCGCCGCCATCAATGCCGTAAAGACATCGAGAGCCTCGCCCTTGACCCGCGGCCTGGCCACGCCCGTCTCCTACGGCGCAAAGACTGAGTCGACGACACTTGGCAATGGCTTCACGGTAGGCTGGACACGATGAAACATGAGAGGGCTGCAATTGACCCGACTGCGCAGATTGCTACCGAACACTCTCCATGGGCCCAGACATCGACCGTTGGTGTGTGGATTGATGCTGGTAGCCGCGCCGAGACAGACGAGACCAACGGAACTGCACACTTCCTCGAGCACCTTGCTTTCAAGGTAGGACGTCCCAATGGCAGACGGAGTACACAGGAAGCTGATGCGGGCAACAGGGTACCCAGAAGCGCACACAGCAGCAATTGGAACTCGAGATAGAAAACATGGGCGGCCATCTCAACGCCTACACTTCGGTATGTGCGGAAATTGTGTTGATATAGAATGTGTGTTGATAAGGACAGCGCGAAAACACCGTCTACTACGCCAAGGCCTTCAACAATGACGTCCCGGCTGCCGTCGACATTCTCTCCGATATCCTCCAAAACTCCAAGCTCGAGGCCCAGGCTATTGAGCGCGAGCGTGATGTCATTCTCCGCGAGCAGGAAGAAGTCGACAAGCAGCTTGAAGAGGTTGTTTTCGATCACCTACACGCCACTGCTTTCCAGGGCCAGCCCCTCGGCCGCACCATTCTCGGACCCAAGGAGAACATTCAGAGCATCCAGCGCGCCGACCTCGAAAACTACATCAAGACCAACTACACTGCCGACCGCATGGTTCTCGTTGGTGCTGGTGGCATTCCTCACGAGCAATTGGTCGAGCTTGCCGAAAAGTACTTTGCCAACCTACCCGCCGAGCCCCAGGACTACTCTGCCAAGTCTCTCGCGGCTGAGCAGAAGCAGAAGCCCGACTTTATTGGATCAGAAGTCCGCCTCCGTGACGACACCATGGGTACCGCCAACATTGCCATTGCTGTCGAGGGTGTGAGCTGGAGCGACCCCGACTACTTCACTGCTCTCGTCACACAAGCTATTGTCGGTAACTGGGACCGTGCCATGGGCACCTCAGACTACCTTGGCAGCAAGCTCAGCAACTTTGTCTCGCAGAATGCTCTGGCCAACAGCTTCATGAGCTTCTCCACCAGCTACTCGGACACTGGGTAAGTCGCGACCAGCCAACATCAAATATAACCACACTAACCCCCAACAGTCTCTGGGGCATCTACCTAACCAGCTCCAACCTCACCCAACTCGACGACCTCGTCCACTTCACCCTTCGCGAATGGACCCGCCTCTCGATGAACGTGACGTCCGCCGAAGTGGAGCGCGCCAAAGCCCAACTCAAAGCCTCGCTCCTCCTCGCCCTCGACGGCACCACGGCCGTCGCAGAGGACATTGGTCGCCAAATCGTCACCACCGGTCGCCGGTTAGCACCAGAGGAGATTGAGCGCGTCGTTGGTCGCATCTCGGAGAAGGATGTGATGCAATTTGCTCGCAACAGGCTTTGGGATAAGGATGTGGCGGTCTCGGCCGTCGGTCAGATTGAGGGGCTGCTGGATTATAATCGGATTAGGAATGATATGAGTAGGATGTTGTCGTAGAGTGGTGTAAGATGTATAAGGGGGTAAGGAGGGTTTGTGAAAGGGAAGGGGGGATGTGAGATGGGATGAGGAGACAGCATAGAGAGAGGATATGTATTTTGTGTACACTTTAGTCGGATGAAATTCGATATGGAAATATTTCAGCTGCTTTGTTTGTTGATGTCGTGATTGAGTTGGAGAAGCAACTGTTGCGATCTAATTGAATCAATATTGGCGACGACACGTTGCTTTGCATGGTTGGAATGGTCGATGTATGGTTTGATTGAGTAAACATAAAGCGGTAGTTGAAAACAAGGCAGTGAGATTATGGAATGGTATGTGGTTGCAAACGCGGGAATTGCGCTGAATGGGTATAAACACGCGACATTTTTCTCTGTCCTATCCTATCCCTGCTCTCTATAGTAAGTACTCTCTGGATTTCTAATTGCATTTCCTTTGACACAGAAATGCAAGCGAGGCAGTGAGTGATGATCTTCGGATGATGGATGAGACGGTTGTATATTACCGATCCATGCTCATGTCTACTTGATTACCCTTATTCACCGGTATGTACAGTACGTACTGTCTGACTGCCCATGCACGCGCTGGCCATTGTGCGAGATGGGGTTTTCCTGTTCTAGTGCTTTTGCATGTTCATCATTGAGCGGGTTTGATTGCCGGGACCAGTCGGAAGAGGAGGGGGTTAGGGTAGGGAAAGTGGTGAGGTGACATGGACATCTGGGGAACGTATATGGAATGAATGAATGGGTAGATGGGAGATACCGACACGGTACTGGGTGGGATAGGGTAAGGTGGATACATGGGGAAGTGCCGTGTTTGTTACCGGTGATGGTTTGTGTATGACTCGAATACGATAATCTGATCATGGTGACAGTGATGATGATGGGCAACATACGTAACCCTAACCTAATGCCAGGAACAGCATGTATATGCGTTTGTACTTGGCTACCAAGGGACAGCGATATCCGGTACTGGAAAAAAAATCGGACTAATTACTAGGAACGGGGCATGGCACGGTACTTGGTATTGGAGGTTAAGACTTGCGTACGCGTACAGTATGAGGCGGAAGAGAACGGAAAGGGTAGGTAGCGTGGAAAGGGGGTGTTGAGTGCATATCGGTACTTTGGTGGATGTGGAGGAGTGTAAGTAGTAGGGAGCGGCGGCGGAGAGAACGGAACGGAACGGAACA